CATGAGCTTATGAAATCGCCTTTTTGCTGTGAAACGGCATGAATCATTTTGCGACTTTTCGGTAGTAAATGGGTAAAAAGTCGTGATTTTTTAATAACAGCGAAAACTTGCCTCATAAGTCGGACCCCAAACCAGCTAACAACCTTTGAAGTAGTAATTGAACATTGGTGTGATTTTTGCTCCTTAATATTTGAAGACACTTCTGCTGTGGGGCCAACCTTTGCGATCATCAGGAAAGTCAAATTGTCTTCTATTGCTTAAAGCTTGGAAGATTAGCATGTTACCCACACACACAAAACGAGTTTATGCCAAAAATTCATTGTTTAGTGTTGCCAGGCTCTGGTGCTGAGCGAAATCGTTACTTTTCCTAGTAATTTCCATTATGTAATTTAAAAAGAGTGGGGCAAAGACGTTCCCATTGCCCATCATTTGACCAATTTTTCGGCTCTATCGTCGAATTGGTTTGCCTCTGCTGAATGTGATGCATTCTTTTATCCATCGTGAGAAGCGTAGCGAGATCTCTGAAATGTCGTAGGAATAAAATTTTGAATCATATATATTGGACAGGAAATGCTAGTTGTTTTTCAAGGTTCAATGTAGAAAATGCATCCTTACATCCCCTGTGCTCATTGTCTCCTTGGTAGATCTTTTTTGTGGTTGAGGTTCTTCTACCTCGTAATCAAAATGTCGGAGGTTGAATGCTGATCATAACTTCCCGACAGCGGGTTTTGCTGCACATTTAACCTGCCTATTTTCTGATATAAATTCTGCCTTCGGTTTGGATTGGTTAATGCCAATTAGCAAAACACACCCTCGATCTGGTCGTAGTATTTCCCTCACATGGTATAACAAAATATCTCATAGCAAAGTTTCTTTTATGCTAACTCTACCGCTTCTGAATTGTTTTGTGCAATACTTTTCTTCACTGGCAATAATTTAAGGAGACTGAACTTATGAGGTTTGGAGTAGTCGGAGACTGGAATTCGGTTTGTATCCTTTCTCACTGGATGCGGGATCCAGGTCCCAACGGATTTATCCTTACCTTCTTCCCATGTAACATTGATCAGTCTCTTCGTCCATGCTGTGACTGAGATATGAAGGGTATCACTGTGGTGTAGAGCCTGCCTCGGAGTAACCGCTTCAAATCTCCCTTCCACACCAAGTTAATGCCGATTGGGAATGCCGAAATTATTTTATTGCTTGCCCTTCTGACCTTTTGGAATAAGCGAATTGAAGGCGTCTTGACGAAAGTTGAGAGCTACTTGGAATCTCGCGATGTGATCCTCTGTCTGTTTTAAAGTCTACCTATTTTGTGACAAATGTCTTGGAATCATACCTTTCATGCAAGTTTTGTGGACAGTTCTTTTAATTGACTTAATTGGCATTGCTTGGAGTATTTTTCACAGCATTTTGGAAAAGTAGAAAACTTTGAGAGAAGTAGAGCATTTAAACCGGTGCACACAGGTCCAGTGTTGGATTTGATCGCTTGTAAGACTTCTATGCTGTGCTTGGTATGCAATAAACTCGGCACACAAGTCTGAAGGTTGTCATCACAACAACCGCACACTGATGCCGCTTTCCTTCGGAAACTTTTGCGAAAAGCAATGTTAAAACGTCTTGTTACTTTAAAAAACGCTTATTTTTCATTGTTGGGAAGTGTATTCGATTTTTTAGCGATCCCCAGTTGGAAGATTCCAAGCCTAGTGACTGAAGTATCTAATTAATGAGGTGGTCTTCCGTTTTATGGAATTCTTCATTAATTGCTCACACTTGTCACTGTATAGTGCTCAGCCTGGAGGTGTTGCGATGAGCTCACTTCGTTACTCCATCCTTTAGCAAAGCCGCATGCCAGAAATAACGTCACGGCGGAGGTCACTCAAAAATCCACTGAGGCGGAAGCGGAAAAGGGACAGCGAGTAAGGGCTGAGGAGATAGGGACGGTCTTGTCCCGAGCCGGTGAAGTTTTACTTCTCTCTCCAGGAGGTGTTCGTGAGGCCCTCTTCTCTGACGAGTACTACTCTGTGTTGTGGGGCAAGCGTCGTGGATTTGCACGCATCGCCATCAAGGCAAGACGTGTGAGTATTGTCTAAACACACTTGTCAGCGTGTGTCGTCTCTTTGTGTATTGTTTGACTATTCCACAGCCTTTATATCAGCATGTAGTTAATGTGTTTGCGGTGGAACGACACCTGTTTTTGTGAATCGGGTACTGGGGATTATTCCGCTCATCCTGCTTGCATTTGACGTCTTCATTACCACTATGTAGTGAGGTGGAGCTGATGGGTAGGTGGATGGATAGTCAGGTATTGCTGAACACAGTGTAATCCTTTACAAGCAGTGGTACTTTTTCGGCTTATTTCGCGGTGAACGCTACTACCGAAAAATCGCGATGGGACAGTTCAATGATATTGAATTAACACTACGATAGTGCCATCTTGTGTAAGGTGGCGGAAGGTTTCCTACAACGTACTCATTTTTCTTTAAATGTGGTATTTACCTTCAAACTCGTATTGGCAGACGTGTATATGGGAGAAGTAGCATTAATTGAGCTGCGCAAGACTTAATTACCATCATCACAAAATTCAAACCAATGCGGAATGGAAACGTGCGATGGCACACCATACTCAAATGCCATTATAGTGGACCCAATTTCGGGCCAAGACTTAGTCCCTTCAACCTCGAAGTTGGTCGAGCTATAATAAAAATTAAAATTTGTGCATTTACTCATTACTTTTACCGTAGCTGTTTTTTGAGTCATCTCCATTTTTTCACTGACTTGGCCTTATTTCAGGTTCACTCCCGCATGGGTGACTCTTTTCTTACAGGCTATCGCAATTTTATTCAATTTCATATGTACCGCAAATGCAAATCTGTCACGTCTATAATGAATAATGAATAAAACCACTTCATTATTGCCTCACTCAGCCTATTTATCCCGTATTCACGGAGAACATTCGCGAGGGCATTCGTCTCGTTCAATATGGCAAATGTAGGTGCTTCATTTACGTTCCATACTATTGCTATTATTATTTAACAGCAACTTGGAAACCATTCGTTGTTTACCTGATGTAGGTTGGCTACGTCGGCTTTACGAGTTTACACGACTACCGTTTGGCCTATTCTATGGATACTTTCCGGTTAAATTGCGGTCCGTCGTTTGAAACGAATATTTAGCTTTTCCATACTTGACAGTAGAGTGGCACTTTCTTTTTTTAATACAGGACTTACATCGGTGATCCAATTTATCCAAGAGAAGGGGAAACGGATGAGCAATTGGCGGACAGGGTAAGCAGTCCCTGCATCATTAATCAACGCCCATAGGTTACGCTTGAAGTGCTA